ATACAATCAGCAATGATCGACATAACCTGTCACAGATATTATTGCATGTGACTACTACTATGAGATTACTGGGACTCGGTCCCAAGTCTGACTCGGGACCGAGCCTAGATTAAAACTCGACTCATGGAGTCGGACCGGACCGGACCGAACTTTTAACATCCCTAGCTATTTATTATGTAAATTTACTACGTATATATTTTCAAATACGTATACGTACGTAGCAAGTATGTTTCTATATATAGTCAATGCAATTATTAAATTGTGCATACGTATTTGCAAAAGATTAATGACACAATCTAAAGAATTGATACGTAAGAATAATTTGAAAGATAACTTTAATGGCTAATTATAAGCAATTTGATAGTAAATTTGGTTAATTAGATATGTAACTTGGTTGATGAATTAAATATGCAAATTAGTTGCGAATTAAGTATATATGAATTAAAAAAATGCACTCAAAAAATCTGTGCCATGTTTTGTCGATTATTGTGACTTAGTAAAAATTTTTAAATTCATTAATATTAAGGTTAGCGCTTAGAATAAGTTGGTCATATTGTAAAATCACTCAAGGAAAAATTTTTGTTAGAGCACTAAAGGTGGTTTTTTTTTAGAAATAAGCGATTTTTTGACAACTTGAAATTTCCTGATCATGTTACGTTACACCGGATTCTTGAGATCTGATTTGTGGATCAAGGACCTGCGCCACAATGATCGACAATATGGTTGGTGAATTAGGTGCACTTTAGTTCTGAATTGGTTATGCAACTTGGTTAACGAATTGAGAATAATTTGGTTGATGAATTAAGTGTGAAATTTGGTTATGCAACTTGATTAGCAATTAAATAATGTGGTTGGGAATTAGATGTGTATATTCTTGTTTGTAATTTGAAGTATAATTAAGTTGTGATTAATATACAATTGTTTAATCGTAAAATATGATTAATTTCGAAAAATACAATTAAATTTGAGCAAATGACATGTTTAATTTGAAATCTCTGATTAATTTCGCGCAAATATTCATATTTTAATTTCAAAAGATATATAATCAATTTCACACTAATGCTTAATTTCGTGTAAATTACATGTTTTAATTTCGAAAATATATCATTCGTATCGATGCATTATTAAAACAAAATATAGAAAGCATTTAAGCATTTAATATATTGATTATTTCAAATATCTACCAAATATGAGGTGCTAATATATTGATTGATTGACTTTATTAATTTAAAAAACGATAAGATTTTGACGCGATACTTACGATCAAATAATCGAGTCGGCTCGGAAATCACGTCACCGACACCTTTTTGCGACACAACTAAGCTACTCTATCATATGAAACAATTTCTTCAAGAAACTGCTTTCCTAGATTATCCATTTGAAGACCATGGACCATTTTACCCATAAGCGGGACAATCTCACTTTTCCAAGTGTCATTGCATGTTAGTCGTCGCGTTGGTTCCCTTAGAAAATATCGAAACTTGTCTTCATTTTTAAAACGCTCCTCCCGGAAATCTTTTAACGATGATATCTTACTGAATATAGGCCTTTTTTTGTCAAGACGTTGTATATGCGCGAAGAGCAAGCCACGTGATGCAATGATCGCAGCAGTTGGCGTCAGCTTTATCCCGACCTACACATATATTTGCAGTTTCTTTTATTATTGAATATTAAAGAAAATATTAAAAGTTTTCCTTACTCTAAAATCTTGATTATTCATCAGCAGTTCCGCGTCACTTAAGCATTCCGATGCAAATTGACATTCCAAAATGTTTCCGTAAAAATGTGGATAATAATTTCGCAACATACACAAATAAGTGTGATACTCCGTGCACATATTATCCAATGTCGATTCAGGTGTATACATTAACGGCATCCGCTCACGGACCTCGCGTGGGTGTATTAACTTGTTTTGAAGCGAGTTAATTTTTTGTTGAATTTCTTTATGCGCCTCATCATTAGGATCCTCCGTCCCTATTGTACAAAAAAAGATTATCAATAAAGTGTAATTAAGCTTTAATTTCATGAATCTGGTTATAAAATGCGTACTCTTGTTGTAAAGAATTCTTCCGATTGCTCTAAATGGATCGGTTATAAGTTCATTGTACGTAACTGAGTCAAATAGTGTCCGTCTGTTTAATATTTCAATATATGAATATTTATCGTTGAAGAACTCAATTCACTCTAAAAATGTTTCAATCAAAAGGTGGCATTACAAAGTTGAATCCAGATTCATTCTTAATTCTAACAAGCTTTTAGAATTTGTGATTCTTCGTTTTCGAGATCCTTTGCCAAATTTTTTATGAGAGTTTGCTCGGGCACCTCCAAGATTTTTGATAGGATCTTCAACCATTAAAAATTGAAGAGTATTGATGGCCAAGCGTATATCACCGTGACATTGTTTAGCTAAAAATGGACATAATTGTAGGGCATCTTCTTGTTTATCGAAATCATCGACATAAACCTTATTAATAAATAATTTAAGACCCCTCTCCATTTGTGTATTGTTAATTGGTAGAAACTCTATAGTTGTACATTGGTTTGATGATATGATATCATTTGGAAGGATTGAACGCAAACTTAAACTTTGAAAACTGTTTTTGCCAACATATTCATCAAAATCTTCAACACTATGAGCTTCACTTATAATAAGAATAAGAGGAAAAGATGTTCTGGGATGTTTTATGTGCGCTTTAATAGCTTGATGAAATTGTTTTTTTGCTCCCGAATTAATAAGGCATGGTAGGTCTTCAACAATAATAATTTGAGAATTATTTTGATTTAAAATACACTGTTTGTGAGGGTTGCGACCGTTATAAGACAAAAATAATTCGAACGGTGCCATGACCGGAACAGATTCTACGTATCAAATTTCACGTTAATAAGTCATATAAACAGATCCAAACAACAACATACCATCAGAATGGTCGGTAGTAAACGTTTGAGGGTTCTCCCACTCAATTATGTGAAGATTTCTTTTCTTTGCAATCAGCTTGATAACAGATGTTTTTGAAGAGCCAGGAGGTCCTGATAGAACCAAAAGCCTATGGGATTGCATTTGGTACTATAGAAAAAGGTCGATAATATTATACAGCCGGTCATTAGATTATATATACTAAAAAAAAAGGATCATTTACCATATTATAATTATTTTGGCTAAAAGCTTTATTGAACCATGTTTCAACCTCTCTTAGTCTTGCTGGATCTAAAGCAAGTTCATCCAAATTAATTGGCGGATAGATATCTGGCCATAAGAATTGAGGTACATCTAACTTTATCCTCTTTGAAATATCATCATTTCCACCACCAATTCGCTTTTGAAATGTTGAAGCAGACGACTCAATAACATGACAAGATGTCACTGGTGATTGACATTTAGAAGGACTGAATAAAATGCCCTTTATTTTATCAGATGCAGTGTTATTTTCAGATTTTTGGTATTCTTCCAGGCTTGCACCATTTTTCCATTCCTTTATTTTATCAGATGCAGTGTTGTTTACAGATTCTTCCAAGCTTGCCCCATTTTTCCATTCCTTTATTTTATCAGATGCAATGTTGTTTACAGACTCTTCCAAGCTTGCCCCATTTTTCCATTCCTTTATTTTATCAGATGCAGTATTGTTTACAGATTCTTGGTATTCTTCCAAGCTTGCACCATTTTTCCATTCCTCATAACTAGGATTTACCAAAACACATTTGAGGGTCGTATTTATTGCATTTTTTGTTTCCCTAGAACTTGATGACTCTGTCAGTAACATTTGAGCATCAATAACACAAGTATCTATTTCTTCGATCGCCAGAAGATCCGTAGAAGTTACAATGTTTTGAACCTCTGAAATGCTTTTTTCCTTATCATTCACTACAGTAACACTTCGATGATTCTTGACAATATCAGTGTCTTCATTTTCACTTTCACTAATTAGATCAATAATTTCATTTTCATTGTCACTATCAATAATTACTATATTTCTCATACTGACTTTTATCTTAGAGAAGGAACGCGCCTTTGCGGAACATTTATTGAAAAGTACTGTTACACGAGATTTTATATGATTTACAATAGAATTTTCTAGGTGCCTATGTTGTCGAACAAAAAAAAATGGAAATTTCGATAATAATTCCAGCTCACGACCAACATAATTCCGCCCGGAACTATGGAACAATTTTTAAACGGTTAAACGGTTCCAATCCCTAGTCATTTCATCACTTCTAATACGTATATCATATTCGCATATTGATATTATTCCGATACATTTTAATACGACGTATCGGAATAATATGCGAATATGATATACGTATTAGAAGTGATGAAATGACCTATACTTTATTAAAAACCAGTCTTGCCGGGCCTCAATATCCTTAAGGCAATGTTAGATGTTACTTAGGAACTGGAGAATCCTTGGCTACCTCTGTGCAGAAAGTCAAACTCTATAATTATTTCAATTTAGCCCAATATAAAGTAGTTTTGTAGAACTTTTGGCATATATGTTTGTACGAACTAGATTAGATTACACGAACCGACCTATATCGATATCATATCACATCTAATTCATCGACCAATCAAATCAAAAAATTTCCCTATAATTTTTAATCAGGACGACGAAAAAAATCGAGTTGCGTTTTTTTTTTATAAAATAATGGAGGTAATTACAGATTATTAAATACTACACAATCTTTATATTCAAATCTTTCTGACTTTATTGTTTTACGCGTATTTTACAGCAACAAGAATTTATTAATGGGCTAGAAGGACTGCTTACTCAGTTGGTTTCTAGTGATACTGATACAGCGCGGATAAGAACGGTATGCGCATATGCGAACGGAATAGCGGCGAACCTATATTCTTAATACGCGACATCTAATATCACGCATATTAAACTTTTTAATTATGTTTTAAGGCTACCTCCGCTTTAAATAATGATTATAATTCAGTTTCGTGTGTGCCAGCTTTTGTTCACATATTATCGAGTTCTCCGAGTTGGCAGGTTTGAAATTCGCGTCCTAATATAAGCACAGTAATGCTTTCATATATTGATTATTATCCTTATGTGATTTTGATTTATTAGGTACGGCAGCTTGCAGCTATCGAGTTAAGGAAGCGCGGTCCTAAATGGTGGTCAAAAATTGATGTAAATTCACAATCAGAGATCAAATCACGTTTGCTTGAGATTATTTTACAAGAACCGGAGTATGTATCAAATTTAACTCGTATATTATACAATGCTTTGTTTTCTAACTTTAATATAATTTAGAAATATTGTACGTCATGCTACTGCACGTGTTATATCATCCATCGGTAAAATCGAAATACCGGCTGGCAATTGGAATGATTTGCTTCAATTCTTATACCAATGCTGTAAAAGTCAAAATGCTGGCCAACGTGAGGTGAATAACTATTTAAAACTAATTGAAAATAATATTTTTCAAACACCATGAATATAACAATTTGTAATTCAAGGTTGGAATATTTGTTCTTTTTACTTTGTTGGAAGTCATGGAAGATGTGTTTGCGGATAATCTTCTTCAATTATTACAATTATTTGGCGATGCTCTCAACGACCCTGAAAGTCAATCTGTTCGTGTAACCACTATGCAGTAAGTTTTTAGTTATTATTCATGTTTTTTAATAATAGATATGATTAGTTAAAATATATATTAAATTCATTTGAATTTATTAAGAGCTTTAGGAAGAGTCGCAGAATTTATAGAGCCAGATAAAAAAGAAGAGATTGTATGACTTTTCATGAAAATTAAGTAAATTATATTTTTTTACCACCCCCTTGACTGAAATATTTCTATTCCATTTGTAATTAGCAAATTTTTCGAGATTTAATACCCCCTATGGTTAACATTCTTGTACAATGTTTAAAAGATGGTGATAGTGACTCCACAATTAAAGGTTTTGAGCTATTTGAAACACTGCTCATGATGGTATATAAAGTTATAAAAATTTCATATTTGTCATCATTCATTGTTTTTAATAACTTTAATTCATTTTATGTCGCAGGATGCTCCTCTATTGTCAAATCATTTACCACAACTTATTGAATTTGCCTTGACTGTGGCACGCAATATTGAATACGATGAACCTGTTCGTATAATAGCCTTACAATTTTTAATATGGGTTGCTACATAGTAAGTATTCGTGTTGCGAGTGAATCATTCATAAATAATTTTAGTAATTTCGCTACGTAACATAACTATTCAGTAAAAAAGCTAAAATTCAAAGACTTAAGCTCATCGGTCCCATTATTCAAGAATTAATGCCAATTGGTACTGAAAATGACCCTGAAGATATAGACGAAGAGTCACCGTCTAGAGTAATTATCAATGTATTTTAAAAAGATACAATCACACTATACACTTACCATTACATTTTAATTTCATAATTGAATTGAATAGATGTCTTTTAGAGTAATAAATTCTTTGGCGACGAAATTGCCACCCCAACAAGTTTTTCCTGTTGCTATGGAGTACATTACCGCATACGTTCAAAATCCTAATCCAAAATTCAGGAAAGCTGGAATGATGGCTTTTGCAGTATGTTGTTGATGTCATCTGAGATATTAAATTATAACACTTGTTCTTATTTTGACTAAACTCAATTACTCTTAAGGTTCTTATTGAAGGATGTGCAGATTATATACGCCCAAAATTCAATGACTTATTACCCATTGTTTACAATGGTTTACGTGATCCTGAAATAATTGTTCGTAGAGGTGCTTGCTTAGCGCTAAGTTGTTTGGCAGGTTTGTCTGAATGGCACAATTACATGGTTTTTATTAATCAATTTAGATAATAAGTTTGATCTTGAAGCTTTAAATATATTGTAAATATAGAGGAACTAGATCAAGAGATTGCTGCAAATCATGCAACTTTGTTACCATTGATCTTTGAACTTACGAACGACACAAGCACGGAGATTGTAAAACAAGCTTGTAATGCGCTTGATCTTATTTTAGAAGGATTAGGTGATGAAATTCTTCAATATTTACCTGCAGTGATGGAGAGGCTTCTTATTTTAATGGATAATGGCCCAAATGGAATAAAAGATGCCGTTATTGCGGCCATTGGAAGTGCTGCTCATGCAGCTGGCGAAGTAATTCTTCATTTGTTATCACTGAACATTCGATGAAATTATTTTCGTTTTAAATATTAATAAATGGTGACATGATAGGAATTTAAGCCATATTTCCAACAAGTGATCAGTCGACTACAGATATTAATGTCATTAAGTCAAACAGATGAAGACATTGTTTTACGTGGAGTAGCTACGGACACTGTGGGCGCAATTGCTGAGGCAGTGGGAAAGGAAGTGATACAAGTACGTAGAATTCTTAAAATATAAGTTATTACAAATAAAGCTAAATTGATTTTTGTATGTTGTTTTTAGCCGTATGTTGATGATATTATGCGTCTAGCTATTGAAGGCCTGCATAAGGACTCGGCACGTCTTCGCGAGTGTAGTTATTGTTTATTTGCGGTCTTATCTCGCGTATTTAAAGAAGAATTCGCATCATATTTAAGCACGATTATGCCACAATTAATAAAAAGCTGTCAAATGGAAGAACATACTATACTTAGTGTCGAAGGTACGTTGTTAAAGTGATGTTTAAAATTTTTGTGAGAAATTTTTAACCTTTTTTTATATTATGGAATTATACAATTTTTAATAACAGAGGAGGAGGATCTATGTGACTTGGATATTGATGATGAGGAGGATACCGAAATTACCATTGGTTCTGCAGTAGTCGATGAAAAAGAAGTAGCTGCTGAAGCAATTGGTGAAATATTTGAAAACACGCGATCACATTTTATTCCCTATGTAGAATCGACTCTTCAAGAGTTGATAAAACTTTCGAATCATCATTCCGAGAGTGTAAGAAAAGTGGTGGTTGGATCTTTATTTAGTTTTTTGTCCACATTTTATAGTATGTCAAACCCTACCAAATGGGAGCCTGGTTTACCTGTGGTACATTTTATGATTAAATTTGGTTTTAAATATTAATTAAATTGACAGTCTAATCATTTTTGTCTTCCATTTAAAGAAAGTTCCTATCCATGAAAATGTGTATAATATGGCCAAAGCTGTCTTATCAACGATATTAACCATGTGGGAAGACGAAGAAAGCAAGTAAGGATCTATGAAAATACTTGTTATGGTTGATAATATGATGAATTAATTGCTATTACCCAGCTCATTATGATTTTAATGTGATCATAACAAAAATACTGATCACCAATTCTGATGATAGTTAAAAATCGTTATAATGTACCTAACTACGTTATATTTCTCTTCTAAGAATTGTAGTAATTCAAATTTGTGCCGAACTTGCCGATACCATCAAAATCTGTGGGCCCGCTATAATTGCCGATTGTAAGTGTTCTTTGTTATCGTTGTATGTGATGTCATATATTTTATTTACCTTATCTTTTGAAACTCATAAGATATAAGGCCGATTGCAGAAAATATTCTTTTACTTTATCAGAAAAAAGCTGTGTGTCAGCAAGATAATGATGACGACGAAGGTCTGCTGGATGACGATGACGAAGCAGAATATGACTCGCTTCTTATAAATAATGCATCAGATCTCGTTGCAGCGATGGCTTTGATTCTTGGATACGATTTTGTTCCATATTTCAAAGAGTATATTAATTATATTGCCAAATATTATGTATGTTCATCATCTAAGATTATATTGAGTGATATTGTATTTTACTTTAGTTTCACAATTTCAGTTTAATACTTTTTAGAAAAAAACGAAACCAACTTCTGAAAGATCTATGGCAATTGGGTGTCTTGGAGAAACCACGATTGGTTTAAAAGATGGAATATCGGAATTTACCGATGTAAGCTAATTATGTTATACGTAATTTTTAGGACTTAAGTATATATTGATTATGAAATATATTTTTATATATTTTATAGCAACTTTTACCTTTATATCTAAAAGCTTTGGCTGATGAAGATGATGAAGTTCGAAGCAACGCTGCTTTTGCAGTTGGGCTTCTTTGTCAACATACACGTGTAGACATTAGTAGGTGAATAATCGATTAATATCATTAACTTTTTATAAAAAAAAAAAAAAAAAAGGTTATTTATTTAATACTCACACGTTACGTTTAATTCATAGTCAATATAGAGATATACTTTCTAGTTTGCATCCTTTATTTACAGGACAGTCATTAATGAATGTCACTGATAATGCGTGTGGAGCAGTATGTAGAATGATTATGGCTTGTCCTCAAGCAATGCCAATGGAGCAGGTAAGTTTGTTATTTATTGTCTGATATATACGCTTAAAAATCATTAATAGTAATAATTTTTAAGGTGTTAGAAGTAGTATTGCGAACGTTGCCATTAAAACGAGATTTTGAAGAAAACGAACCCGTTTTTAAATGCATAATCATGCTTTTCCGAG